TTGAAAGAAGACCTAAATAGCTGGAAAGACCTCTCATGGTCACGGGTTGAAAGACTTAATATTGTTAAGATGGTAATACTGTCCAAAGCAATCCACAGAATCAATTCAATCACTATTAAAATCTCAATGACCCATTTGCTGAAATGGAAAAGCTAATCCTAAATAGATAAATATAGATCCCTATGGAATTGCAAATGATCCTGGATAGCCAAGACAATCTTGAAAAAGAAAAAAAAAATAGTGGACTCACACCAATTTCAAAACTTACTACAAAGCTATTGAAATCAAAGCAGTGTGGTACTGGTATAAATGTAGAGACATAGATCAATATAATACCATTGAGAGCTCAGAAATCAATCTGTATATCTTTGGTCATTGATTATTTGACAAGACTGCCAAGATCATTCAATAGGAAAGCATAGTTTCTTCAACTAATGATGCTGTGACAACCGGATAGCAAATGAATAAAATTGGAATAATGCAAAAATGCAATATTCATGCCATACACAAAAATTAACTCAAAATGGATCAAAGACCTAAACATAAGAGCTAAAACTATAAGACTCTTAAAAGAAAACATAGGAGTAAATCTTCATGACCTTGAGTTTGGTAATGGATTCTTAGACATGACACCAAAAGCAAAAGCATCAAAAGAAAAAATAGATAAGTTGGATTTCATCAAAAGTAAAAACTTTTGTGCATCAAAAGACACTATCAAGAAAGTGAAAGGCAACTTATATAATGGGAGAAAATATTTGCAAATAATGTATCTGAAAAGAGTCTAGTATTTAGAATACATAAAGAACACTTAGAACTCAACAATAAAAAGGCAAACAACCAAATTTAAAAATGTGCAAAGTATTTGAATAAGCAGTTCTCCAAAGAAGGCATACAAATGGACAACAAGCACATGAAAGGATACTCAACATCATTAGTCCTTAGGGACATGCAAATTGTAACCACAATTAGATACCACTTCAAACCAACTGTGTGTGCTATAATTTAAAAAATAAAATAGAAAATAACAAGTTGGTGAGGATGTGGAGAAACTGCAACACTCTTACATTGCTTGTGGGAATGAAAAATAGTGCAGCCACATTGGGAAAGAGTTTGCCAGTTACTCAAAAAGTTAAACCCCGAGTGACTATATGACCCAGCAATTCCACTCATAGTCGTATATCTAAGAGAATTGAAAATATATGTCCACACGAAAACCTTTACATGATTTCTCATAGCAGCATTATTCATAATAGCCAAAAAGTGGAAATAACCCAAATGTGCATCAACTGATGAATGGTTAATAACATGTGTTATATCCATGCAATGGAATATTATTTGGCAATAAAATGATGAAGTACTGATACATGCTGCAGCATGGATGAACTTTGTAAACATGCTAAGTGAAGGAAACCAGACACAAAAAGTCACATATTGTATGGTTCAATTTATATGAAATACCCAGAATAGGTAAACTTATAGAGACAGAAAGCAGATTAGTGATTTCTAGGGGCTGGGGGAATGGGAAATTGAGAGTGACTGCTTAATGGGTACAGGGTTTCCTTTTGAGGTGATGAAAATATTCTGGAATTAGATAATAGTTATGGTTGCACAGCCATCTGAACCACTAAATTGTATACTTTAAAATGTTGAATTTTATAGTATGTGAAGTATATTTTAATTTAAAAAGGTGTCAGTGAAAGTCTGATAGAATTTCATTAGGTTAAGAAGGAGAAAGAATATTTCGGGCAGAGGGAACAGCATTTAATGTTTCAGATGTGGAGAGGCATGTTCGATGATAAGGCTGGATAGCTAGGCTGGGGACAGACTAAGGGAGTTTAGGCTTTGTTCTTTGGTAGAAGGGTACATGGGGAGTAACAGAACGTTTTTGAGGAAGGAAGTAAACATTTCCCAGTCTAAGTCTGGAAAAAATATTTCTGACAACAGTGCGATGGGGTTTTTGAAGGTGAGGGAATGGCATATTTTGTCAAATATTCATTATTCATGAACAAATATTCACTAAGGTCCTCCTATGTGCTAGGCACTTTCCTAGACTATGGAAAACCAGTCATGGATTTTATATCTAGTGATATAAAATAGATATTCAATAAATGTTGAATAAGTTTATGGTTTGGTGAGGATGGATGGACATGGGGACATCATTTAAAAGGCTATGGAAATTGTTCAGGAAAACAGATGATGAAACTATGACAGTATGAGGAAAAAAGGAGGAGCATAAAAAGAGAGTTGATTCAGTAGTTGAATTCACAGCACTTGGTGATCTTGATGATTAAGAGGTGAGGCAGAGGGAGGAGTCAAAAATATTGCTGAATCTTCTAACAGGTTTGAGGAACAAGATTGGTGAGTAAAGGTAAGTTCAGTTTTAGACAAGCAAGATTAGAAGTGAAGCTGTCCAGAGGTAACTAGACATTGAGATATAACACTCAAGAGAGAAATTAGGGATAAAATTATTGACTTGAGAGTAGTCAGCCTAGAGGTGATATTTGAAGCCACAGAAGTGAATAAAGTCCCCTGATAAAATGCTATAGAGATACAGGAAGAGAGCAATAAGAACTAAGTCTTTGAGAACATTTACAATCAAAGGATGAATGAAGGAAGACCTAGCAAAGGGGTCTGAGAAGGATGAGTCAGATAGGTCTTAGGAGAACAAAGAAATAATAGTGGTGTTGATACTAGTGGTTGAAAGAGCTTTGAGGAGGAAGGAATGTTCAACAGGGTCAACTGCTACAGAGATGTTGAGGACGATGGGTGTGAATGGAGAGGTCTTGGGCTTTGGTGATGTGGAGGTCAGTGATGACTCTAGTTTATAAGTTATGTTGTGGTGAATTGGGAGGGACAGCCAGTGGAAACTACCTTCTTTAGAAGGATGGTAGTGGCCATGGACGAGATATGAGGTGGAAGATGCGGAGAAATATTTTAAAAAATGACATATATGTGTTATTTACATATATGTGTATAATGAGCTTACATACATACATACATACATACATACATATTAGGCTTAGGTATAGGATAATGGGTGGACCAGGGAGTTGGAGTAGCTGAGGTTAAGAGATTAGGTGGAAGGTTTGCTGTGGAAAGAATAAAGGTACATCTTACTCTGAGCCAAGAGGGAATGGGTAGGGAAATGTCAAGGCAGAGAAAGTAGTTGATAGAATTCATATCTGAGGGGGGTCTGGATCATCTCAGAGAAAGAGGAGGTGACCTCATCTTCTGGAAGCAGGGCTGGGAGCCTGAAATAAGGTGGAAAGTGTTCTAAACAGCTGCTATAAGGAATGGGACAAAGATAAGCAAATTGATTGGAAAACAACATGGTGACAACCAGTGGATGTCACACAACATGAAACTGAAGTGGGATCAATGCATCTCTGTGCTGTTTTTGTGAGCAGAGCTCAGCAGTCCAAGACCATGGGCAAAATCATGGCATACAGGGCCATCCCAGAACTGAGGAACAGAACAGAGGGTAAGGCAGAGGGAGGAGGGGCTAAGAGCTATATAGGGCAGAGATGAAACAGGGGACCCGACTTATGGAACAAAGTTGAGGTGGAGAAGGAGGCAGGCAGAGGAAGCCAAGAGGTAATAGCTTGGCTCAGAGAGCAGGAAAGGGTGGAAGGCTGAAAGTAACTTCTCTGAGCCTGTTTCCTTACCTGTCCTTAGGGGGCAATGGTGAGCACTGCCTAAAAGCTTTGTTGCCTGTGAGGTTGGACTGTGATAACGGATAGATTGATTGGTTATGAGCAAGGTCCTGCCCAGAAGGGCTGGGAAATAACTCATAGAAATGTGAAAATGTTCAACTTGTCTCTTTATGAAGTACACATTCTCAGATTTTCTAGCTATTCCTTGCTCTCTCTGCTTGACCAGATTGACAACTCTCAGCGAGTTAGGCCAGTGTCCACATAATCCCCTCAGAGTGAGTCTGCATGTGTTCCCCAAAAACTAACACACCAAAACCTACAGCACACACATCCTCACTACAATTCAACTTTGGGAAACAAATCTCTCCAGGCAAACACAGGAGTCTCAAACCAACATCAGTTTCCTAACCCAAGTGGTGAGATCCAGTTTGCTAACTTTCCTTATATAGAACTATCCTCAGAGGATAGTAATTTTCAGGTGGCTCTGAGGATAATTCCCTAAAAGCAGTTCCCAACATGTTTGGACAATGGCAGCCCTGTCAGAATAAGTGTCTTCCCCTCCAAGGAGATGTCTTAGAAGGCAACAAGACTTATTTGGACATATTGCTGGGCTGTTCATTTAAACCCCAGCCTGCAGTCTTTATGTACGTGGTTTTTAGTGTTCCCAGGAGAATGCTGTAAGAAATAGTCAAACCTTGATTAACCAGAGTCAATCTTCATCAAGATCTCAACCAGAATTTGCATTTGGCTTAAGGAAGAAGGGAGGGAAGTTTAAAGAAATTATGCAGAGATCTGGGCTTTATTTCATAAAGCAAAACAAAACACAATCAAATAACAAAATAACGACAAAAAACCCCCACCAAACAAAACAAAACAAAAACAAAAATGATTTCAAAGAGTGCCCAGAGCTAGTATATATTTAGCCATGACAAACGATCAGTCATAGTGGAAAAAGCATGAAATCTGAGTGCAAATCCCTACTTAAACTTCCTAGCTGTGAGACCCTGGGCAAGTAGATTCTTCTTTCTCACTCTCTACTTCCTCTTTTGTCAAATTAGGGTAATAATAGCTATCTCATGAGATAATTGTGGGATTCAATCAGAAAATATGTGTCAAGCTCTTGTGCATTGTATCTGGCAAATACAAGGTACCCAGTAAATGTCACTTTTCCCTTTATCTACTTAATCTACAACATGACCGGCATTGTCCCCAGTCCAGAATTTTTGTTCTTTGTGATCGTACAACCCAGGACCCACCCCCCCTTCTCTTGAATAAGGGCTCTACACTGAGGTATCTCTGGAACAAAGTGGTCCGTTGAGAAGCTCACCAGGAGAGAGAGTTGCTCACCTTTGACCACAAGCTTCACAATGTCGCTGCGCTGCTCAGAGCCTACCCGCCCCTTGGCAGTACAGAAATAGGAGCCCGAGTTGGCCACCTCTGCAGGCTTGAAGAGTAAGGTACTCAAGGCTGCTACTTTGATGGGTTCTTGGTCGTGAATTTGTTCCTTGTACCAAGCATAACTGATAGGAGGAGAACCCCGAGCCTGGCATTGAAGGCTAATCCTCATTCCCTGGGGCACTGTGAAGCCGTAGCCACTGCCAGTCGTCACTGTGGGCTTGGAAACAGAGACTGCAAAGACAAGAGAGGAGGCTCTGGAAAGTTACAAGAATATGAGAACACAAAACTAAGTCATCCCTTTTTGGTGTAGGGTTATGTATATATCTGCAAAAGGAACTAAAAGGGACTCCTGACTCAGGATGGAGGAAGGGAATAAGACAATGTAAATAAAAATAGCGTCCTTTGGAAGATTAGGTACTGTTTTGTACTATCTGGGGTTTTGAATTATCTGGAGTTAAAAATCAACTGACTTTAAAAAAATAATATAGTTTTATTAGAGTTTTATTGAATACAAAACTCATTAGAGCTTTTGGATTATCTGCAGTTTTCGATTACCAGGGCCAGATCTTTGTAAAATTGTCAAGCCAGCAAAGCTTATCTTGGGTAACCCTGCATCACTTTCCCCAGAGCTTCTCTGTCAGCTATTCACTCTCCAATATCCTGATCATATATACTTATTTTTATGAGTTTTAAGACCCAGAGCCCGAGGAGGGTAACCAGACTATGTATGCTAGAATTTCCGTGGCACTTGAAGGAATAGAGATTTGAAGGCCAGGAACCCTTCTCAACACTTCTTAAATTCTGCCATGAGAGTGATGACTCTGAGGATCCTCTGTCTGGCCACTTCCTCTGATTACCCTATATAACTGAAAAGAGACTATGTACAGGTGAAGAAAGATCTCTGGGTTTCTCAGGGTTTTCTAGGATTACAGTCTTCTATTGGGTCTTTGCCCATCAGTGCTTTCCTACCCCTACAGTGACTCACGTTTCTGGATGCGGAGCTCAATGATCTTATCTCTCACTACTTCGTTGCCAGTAGGGGTATGCCAAGTGACTTCACACATGTAGTGGCTCTGGTCATCCATCTCCAGGATATTCAGTTGAAGGGACACATCTCCCGGAACCTCGTGGTTCACATGCAGGCGGCCCCGGTACTTTGCTTGCTGGATATGGTCTCCAGAGGAGTCACGTAGGAAGATGGTGACTGGGTCTGAACCACGTTGTACCAACCACTTTACCAAGACTTGAGTGTAACCTTGCAGAGGACCATAGGTGCAGGGAATATTCACATCCCCTTTCCAAGGCCCTGTGACACTCTCAGGTGCTTCCAGGATGGGATGGCCTAAAGAGGAGGACCAGAGGAAGAAAGCAGACATAGATGGCACATCCACTTGGGAGCTAGGGTTGCAGTGGAAGGCCTCAAGAGGCTTCTGAGAAACACTGCTCAACTTTCCTTCCATCATACTTTCAGGTTCCCTATAGCTTTTTGTTCTCTGCCAGCCTTCCCATCAATCAGAACCAGACCTCAGAAGGAAAGCCATCAACATTGTTTAGTTCTTTTGAATTTCAAGTCCTTTTCCTGTCACTTTGCTGCAAGGTGACCCTGGGTAAGTCACCTTCCACTACAGAGGACCCGTTTTCTTAATCTATAACGTAGAGTTTAGATGGAATGGTCTCTAAGTGTTCTGCAAACTCTGATGTTCTGTAAGTTCATGAAAATAACTTCTTTCAACATTTTCCAAAAGGGGTGTGGGAGCAAATGCTGAGCAGTTGGTCTGGGCTATTTTATTTATGTTATTATGTACCTAGAGAAATGTGGGGGCTGCAGGGCTAAGAAAGAAAGGGCCATCTGCCTTGCTTATTCCCTGTTGCTCCCTCAGAAGGGCTCAGTGAATGAGTCCCCAACCCTAAAGTCTTCTCTGGAAGGGAGGAAGGAGGCAAATAAAGAGCAATTCTGAGGGTGGAAACTTGTGTGAGATGCATTCCTGTTTAACAAAATTATTAGTTATTCTTAAGTTTGAAACCTGCGCTTTCTAAACCTGACTGTTCTTTTTTTTTTTTTTTCTGATTTCTCTCCTTTCATTGTTTATTTATTTTTTTTATTTTGGTTTCTCTTAGTTCTCAGCAAAGGTACATTGGAAAATTCTATCCTGAGGAAGAATGGAGAAGAAAATGTCTGGAGAGGAAAAGGGTCTGAGTAAAATCCTAGAGCTGGCTGCTAGGGATGGTGGCAGGACCAAAAGGAGATTGCTCCTTGGCATGCTGGGATGGGAAACCCAGGGGGAAAAAGTTGGGGGTGCTGAGAGAGTCATCAACTTCCATCAGAAATTTCCATCAATCAGTTTATATTTTGAGGGTTTTGTGTATTATCTAACTGGGGTCAGGAGTGAGGGATTGTTTATTTAGACAATGTCTTTATGTCTCTCCTAGGAAAGGTAGTTTCACAGTGTGAGCTATTACTGAATAAAAGCCTTTTATGTATACCAGGATTCCAAGGCTTCAGTCAAACAGATGGAAGATGGGGTGGGGGAATGCTTTCTAGCTCCCAGAATGTAGTGCCAAGTACCAGGGCTTTTTCTATCAATGGGGAGACTAACGTCAAGCCTCTAGCCTATGCCGTCACCAGGGACTCTTAGAACATTACCACCATATTTTGGCCAAGATAAAGCCTTGAGTAGAAAAGAATAAATCAACATGAGTTCACGTTGCTAAATCCACCACATACTCTGGAGAATTTCAGATAGGGCAGGGAGCAGAACTCAGACCCACAAACGGGAGCATAATAGGGGCAGATTTTGGTTTGCCCTAAAAATGAACTTTATAATTAATCAGAGCTGACTATTGATGGACTAAGCTGTCTAGGAGAAGTTCTGACCTTTGTGTAGGTCTTGGACAGCATTACCCTTTAAAGTACCTCCCAATCCTAGATGGTTCAATACTAATAGACTGTAATGGAAACAGAAGTTAAATAATTGCATGATCTAACTGGAGGTAAACTTTCACCAGGTGATAGGTTTCACTGTGCTGTTGATAGTTCATGCCTCCATATGCATGCAGATAAAGCTTATCATCATCATGGACACACATGCCCATACATATTTTTGGTCACTTGCAAGAACAAACATACCAGCCTTAGCCCCATGAAAACCATCTGAGACTTTCAGTTTAATGTGCTCTTTCCCACTAATCTTCCTTCAGCCCTCCCAAATCTCCCTCGTCTCCTTTGAAAAGCATTCTCATACTCCCCTCTTGGGTAACAAAGCAGCATTCTGCTGTGAGGACATCTGGAGCAGCTGAAAATGCCTTTGTCTATGCATATGTATATCTTACCTCTTACCTTCGAGGAGCTACCAGGTCTGGCTCACATTACCCTCCTTGAAAACTTGCTGGGGACTCTCACATAGCCCACTCTGGTCTGTCCAGAACATGAATAGCCAATCCCAATTTTCCAAACTCAAAAGTCACTTCTGGAAGTAGGTCAGGCTTGACTCCTCCATCCCAGAATAGGGGGATGTGACAGAGTTAGTAACTAGACTTCCAAGAATGGCATTTTCTTCCCTTTTTACTTTTTTTCCTTCCCTCTCATTCCTTCCTCCTTTATTCCTTCTACCCATCATTTCATCTTGCTCCTCTTCCTCCTCCTTCTCCTTGTTCTCTCCTCTTCCTCCTCCTTCTTCATTAGTAGCATAAAGAGAAAGTGTATGATAGACACAGGGCATCACAAAAAGAGGACATTGTACTATTCCTCATGTACTCTGAGTCCAAAGTGAAGGTAACTTCAATAGCATTGACTTATACCTTCCAACTATCACTGTGGTGCTCAGAGAGCCTGGAGGAACACTGAGTAAGAGAATTGAGTAAGATCAAGAGAGTAGTAAATGACTCCATGATGTAGTAAGAAGAATAATACAAATCTAAATCCAAAATCTGCCTTATTATATATCTCTCTGTATGACCTTGAGTAAATTGCTAAACCTGTCTGAGCTTTAGGTCATTATCAATAAAATGTATGTAATAATAAACCTTCCATAGAGTGTTATAGTGAAGATCAAATGAGCTCATAAGTGTGAAAGCACCTAGAATAGAGGTTGGCATTCAGTAGGTGCTGGATAAATGCCAGTCCTGTCCCATGCCTCAAGAGAAACTTCCCATATTTATATTGATTCTTCTTATCCTATAGAAATCCTCAATATGTCTTCCCCAGGGTGGGCAGATTCATTAAATTGGACTATTATCAGCTTTAATAATGACATGAAGGAAATGTTAGCATATGAGAAAGTAAGGAACTATCCTGCCCAGCCTGATGGAACTTACCAAGTTATGGGCAGGTAATAGGTCATCCCTGGGTTGTAGGGCAGCCAAAGAGGACACAGTAGCCTGTACCTCCAGCAACAGGACTGACTTGTCAGCCAACGTGAAGTGTTGGCTAAATTAAACAATACTCTTGAATTTTCTGGAAGACTGGGTAAGGAAAACCCATTTCAGGGAAGCCCCACCTACTGGGGGGATGCTCTGCCCATTATGGATCCATGAAAACCACCGAATTGTAAGGTACTTGGTACAACAGGGCTTGAGGTACCAGGAAGGATAGAATTTGCAGACTTCTAGAGTGGCATAGCTTCAAGAGCTTTTAAAAACCACTTAGTCGCATTCCCTCATGGTACATATGAGCAAGCTGAGACCGAGAGAGAGAAAGATGCTTATCCAAAGTCACACAGATAGCAGGGGCAAAGCTGGGCCTGGAGGCTTAGAATATAAGCTTTCAGATGAGATACTGCTTTCTTACCTTCTTAACTTATTAAATCACCAGCCACTGAAACTGAAACCAGCAAACCCTTACCTGGGCCTACTTGACATGGTTTAAGGGATGTTATCCTAAGGCCGAATAATATCCCTCTGACTGCCTGAAAAAGAATTCCCCCATCTTCTGGCTACTTTCTGAAAAGCCTTTCCAAGAATTTCAGAGCCTTGCTCTCTTCCTTCAGGGAAGGATTGAATTTCCTTTAAATATTGTCCTTCCTCAGGAGAAAGACCAGGGCTGGGCCTTGACTCAAGAGACTTTGTTGATAAAGGATTTGAACTGAGAAAGGGGGGACAGTCCTGGGGTCCAATCTGGTTGTGGGACCTGTACTTAGAAAAGCAAAGGTCTGAGGTCTATGTGATGGTCCTAAAGAAAGGAAAGGCTGAGTTTTCTGGGTGTGGGCCCTTTTATAGAACCCATTCTGGGTCCCTTTTTGAATCTTTCTCCTCCCACCACTACACAGAGTGTGAGGGCTTCCCATGAGCCCACACTCCAATGTCTGACCTCTCTACCTTCCTTGGGCTGCCTCCTGAATAGAGGATTAGCTTAGATAATAGATGTTTATAAAATGTTTATAAAATGCAAATGTTAGGACTTATCTTTATTATGTTTATTTCAACATGTGTCTTCGACCTAACAGCTGATTCTGGCCCCTAGAGGCTTTTTAGAAGTGAAACCACGGTCCTGCAGAGCTGTCCAGCTGGCAGAGCGCTTTGAGGTCAGACAAGCAGATCTCCTCACTGTACAGATGGGCTTGGGACACTGAGATCCAGGGAGAGGGAAGGCGTTATTGGCCATTCAGTATGTCTTGAGCCTTAAGTCTATAGTGTAAGAACCTCTACACAAATGGAAGACCTGCTTCCAGGTCTAGAGGACCTTATAGGCTGGAGAGGGAACAATACACATGTGAGCACTCACACGCACACATATGATTCAAATTTAACATTTACAAAATGTTCCCCTGAGTCCCAGTCCTGCTTTTACAAATACCACCTCAAACTAACAGATATGGAGAAGGTAGAGAAGCACACTCTTAAACGTGTTAGAGAATGAAAATCTTTTGGTTGTAGAAAAAAAACACTATTTCTCAGGAGTATTAACTCTGCCACTAATTCTCTGTGTCCTGTGGCAAATTCTTTTCCCTCCCAGGTGACTTAATTCAGTATCTCTTTTAGCTTTGAGGTTTTAGAATTTGATGGATCACAGAGTCCCAGGATAGGGTAGCTTAATCTGAGTCAGCTGTGGAAAGGTGGGTTCTTTTTGACCACACAAGAGATACCAAGCTAACACTCATCCAGCCTCTTCCTCTAAGGATATGGAACAAACAGGGATACAGCAAGAACCTCTTTGCCTTATCTTGGGTCTCACTTAGCTGTTACTCAGAATTAGTTTTCTAAAAGTCTGTCTCAATTCTCAAGGGTATAAATGAGGAGGAAGAAAAACCCAAGGAAATAATGCTACTATGGGATAATCAGACCTCTTTTGGGATATGTGTTCAGCATTAGGCTCCCACAAAAATCCCAGACAAACTGGGTCATTTCCAAAGGGAAGTGAGTTACCCCAGGAGGTGATAAGAAACCAAGTCTTGTGAAGACCAGATGAAGGAGCCGGGGTTGTTTAACTCAGAGAAAAGATGAGTCAAGGCTACATGGTCTCTGTCGTTAGAACTCTAAAGGGCTGTTGCAGTATAGAAGGAGCAGATATGTTCTGTGTGTCTCCAAGAAACAAAGCTGGGGCCTTTGGATGGAAGCTATAGGCAAGTGAATTTGGTTTAACTCAAGGAAGAACTTTCTAACAGTTGGAACGACCCCTGGATAAACTAGATGGTCTGAGGAAGTAGTAAACTCTCAGTCACAGGAAATATGAGAACAGATATTCTAAGCACTTGTTCAGAACAGTGAAGGATGTGTCTAGGTTACTTCTAAGGTCCCATCTAGCTCTTAGACAACATTCCTTCTTTGGGGGCTATATATCTGAACAGAGATCAAAACCTGGAAGCAGAGGGGTTAAGGCATAATGGTAGAATTTCAAGTGAAAGACAGCAGATGGAGGAGGGACTTGGGTAATATTGGGTACCTTCTTAATGTCCTTTAGAAATAAAAGTACTAGAAAATCACGTGTATGTTTTCCAAGAGGGGATCCTCTTCAATTTCTGCCTAAACTTACTCCTGGCTTCTTCAGCAGCCTTCAAATACCTCCCTCCATTCTGCCCAAAGCTAAGAGAGTCTACAGTATTGGCTGAGAACACTCACCTACTCCGAAGAAGTAGGCTTTCCTCAATAGGCATTCAATCCCAATCCCCCAGTCTTTTACCTGTTCCACCAGTGTCAGCCAGACCCCCATTTGCTACCTTACCATAGGTTACCACCGTTAGGTGGCCCAGGAGTAGAAAGTCCAGTAAGAGCCCCATCAATGCCAGAGCCACTTCTGTCCTTTCTTCCAGTCTCCTTCTGTTAAAGAGGCTTGAACTCCTGATGGCTACCAGCGTCTGTGCCCGCTTACTTCCCTTCCTTCCCTATATCTCTCATTTGGACTCCCTGTCCCACCTCACATTCCCCTTCCTTCCCTATTTCAGCACAAGTCATGTGAGCACCACCCTCCCTCCCTGCCTGGGGTTGGAGGTTCCAGGGTGAGTGAAACAATTCTTCCCCCTGCTAGGGCATTGACTTGATTTTGCCTGGAGCCAATAGGGCTCTTTGGTCTTTGATCTCCCAGGTTGTGTTTATTTTGGGTTTCCTCCACAAGACTCAGAGGTTGGGGGGTGAACTTTGAGATGAGTCTACTCCCTCCAGTATGAGGACATTTTCCTTCCTGGTGGGCGCAGGGAAGAGAGATCAACTTTGTTGGCCTACGTAATACTCAGCAGTCATACTTTTAACACCCTCGCCTGCTCAGCCTATGCAAATGAACAGTGTGTTGGGGGTAGGTACCTGTGGGATTCAGAGTACAAGAGATGAAGTGTATGAAAGAACTTTCTACACACCAATGCTTTAATAATTGGCAAGCTCATGGATCAGGCTGTTATGTGGGAATATACCCCCATAGTTTATATTGGGAAAGCTCTTTGACTCACTTTCTCCAATAGCTTCACCTCTTTGGTAAGGGTTCCTATTAGTGCTCATTAGGAATTTATTATTTATTTCTTTTAAGGGAAAGTTAAGTTTAGCATTCAATGTACTTGCCCATTGACCTGACAGTGGTATGCTCTATTAGGCTGAACTTTTCAATGACTTGGTACATACCCCTAACATACAAGAGAGTGACATTAAACCTCCAAGAAAGCATAATTCCTTCTCTTCACTGGCCCGAGAGTGACTATAAATCCACCAGCAGTCTACCTCTAAGTTTGACACTGCCCATAGTCTACAAAACTTTGAAAATATAAACACTTCCAAAAGAGAAAATACATCCAACAAATTCATAACGAAGTGTAAGTAACATTTAGGCTTGTCTTTCTTTTTAATTGGAAGGATAAGAGAGTCCTTGGCCAAGGGAGGTGTGAGCTTTGCAGAGAGGGGGGTTGGATGCCAAAGAGAGACATTATCTCCTCCACATGCTTGTCAAGGGTTGGTTACATACAGATGATTTGGGGCTGTGCAAGGGCTAAGAGGAGATTCCAGCATTTCAGGCCCTGGCATTATCACATGGAATTCTGTTAAGCCCTTCTGTTTCTCAGATTCAAGCCCTCTTGTCTGGTTGTCCCTTGCTTTTTGGTTACTTCATTCAGTCCACCCCACTGGAACATCTAGTCATTCTTTCCCATTGGGTCCTCACTCAGGGCACCCTGAACTTGGTGAGCCCTCATTTTATATTTTCTAAACAGTACCCTACAACCACTACCACGATACACATACACACACTCATACACACACACACACATACACACACACCTTCCTTTATACACTTTCATGATAAAGAGCTGGAAGCCCATGCCACATTAAACTGATGTCAATTTCTGTCTGGCCTGGTGACTGCATATTTTTTGAACTGCATCTTGCCTCTCGTTAGGACCTCCTGGATCAGAACATAAAGAAATGTTCTAGGGAACATGCACAACATTTCTCTGGGGAAGACTTCTAGTCATACAGTGGGCTCAGTAACCCTGTTGAGCAAGAAGAGCATTGATGGGGAAGTCAGGAAGCCCAGAGATAGGACTGGCTCTGCGTCTACTTCATTCTGAGACTTTGGGCAAGCTAAATCTCTCTAAACCTCAGCTTCCCCAATTGTGACATGAGCACTGTTAGACTTGATGTTTATGTCTTTTCAGATTTTTTAAAAATCAAACTACACTATATATACAATAACAACTATAACAATGATAGCTACTATTTCTTAATCCTTACTCTTCCAGGCACTGTACTAAGCACTTTACATGGATTATTTCATTTGATACTTAGAACCCCTCACATGGGTATTGTTGTACTTGCTCTGTGTCTCTTCTGTTACTCTTTACTCCCTTACCCTGCTTTTCTTTTTCTTTGTGGAACTCACCATTACTTGGCATATTGACTTACTGGTTTACTTGTTTGTTGTCTGTCTCCCACTCTAGAATGTATGCTTCATGAAGGCAGGAAATTTTGTATTTCATGCTCATTGCTATATCTCCAGTGCCTAGAACAGTACCTGACATATAATAGATAAATATTTTAAATGAATGAATAAATTTGTTCATATAATATAATAAATATTTTTTTAAATGAATGAATTAAATAAGTCACCATTTTACAAATGAGACTGAGGCCCAGAAAGTGAAATTGCTCACCTGTATAGAGGCTGCCTAGACAGGATCCAAACCCATATCTGTGTGTCTTCATAATTGGTACTCTTAAGCACCACACTATTCTGCTTCCTTCATACCTTTAATGACCACTTATAAAGTATTAACAGACCTTTTCTGGATGTTGTAAGGGAGAGAGAAGAAGTGTTAGATACGATCCTTGCTTAGTGAGATTTTAGTATAGATAGTTAAGATACACACATATGGACACACCAATGGGCACACACACATGTACTCACTGATACAAGGTTAATTATCAATTGAGCTTTAAACCTTGTGGTTCAGACAACATCTGGGTGAATAATGCAGAAAGACTTTACAGAGGAAGTGATACAAAAACTACCATTTGTAGAACTCCTGTTCTGGACTGGGCACATTAGCCCTAGGCCTTAGCTTACAAGGAAGAGATTATGAATCCCTTTCTCTGCTTGAGGAAGCTCAAGTCTAGAGACACCAAAGGACCTATCCACAGTCACACAGATGGTAAATGTCAGAAGAGAGATTTCCAATTCAAGTTGATCTATTTCCAAAGCCTGAGCTTTTCTCCTCCATTCCCTAGGGCTATACTTGAGCTAAACCAAGAAGATGAGATCATTGAAGAGGAGAGGAGAGAGAGATGCATAATTGACTTAATCCAGGGAGTTCACCTTTTCCTTATCTTCAAACCCAATGCTTCCTGAGACGATGGTATATGTCATAAGAGCTCATAGATTTTAGTTGAACAGTAGAGTAAATGACCCGTATCTTTGGGGCCAAATATCCAGAGGTTGCTGTGACACTTTACCTATTTCCACCTCCATAGCCCACCTTCCTAGAAAAAGGTTTAAAGGGAAGATTAGAGCAATTCATCAGTATGTAAACATTATTTGAGACCCTCCTGTATGCATGCATACCTTGGGCTTGGCTGGGCTGGAGGGAAGTGGTGGTGCAAAGAGGAAATCTATAGAGGTCCTGCTCAAGAACACACTCACAAATACACAAATACCACATATAAACATAGATGCATAGATACATCTAGACACATATAAACACACTTATAGATATACATATGTGTATAACATAGTGATAGGCATAAAATATTAGCACATTGACACACAAAATATACATGTATAGATACACAGTACACAGCACATAGACACACAATACAGTCACATAGACACACAAATATACACACACATGTGCATGGACACACAAAAATAAGCATTGAAACACAGATTGATACACCCAAGAAGAACATAAGCACACAATACATGCATATAAGCATATAAACACGTATAAACACACAAACACACATATAAACATTAACCCAAAGATACATAGAAAGATAGTCCGATTTTTTTAAAAGTAAACTAACAATAACAGGTCTCACATACTAATTGGCAGGGAAATGACAGAAATTCATTTGTACAATGGGAGTACAGAGGTGGTAACAAACCACATGGACTTCAGTGGTCTAAGAAGGTTTCCCAGGGGAGCTGGAGAGTGGGCTGGGACCTAAGATTTTGTTAGCATTGGCTAGGCAAAGAGAATGGGGAAAGAATTCCAGGTAAGAGGTAGAGAGAGAGAGAGAACCAAAGCCTAGAGGTAGCAAGGGCAAGAAGAATTCTAGTGAAGAGGAAGAAAATCAGTTAGACTTTAGCTTGGGGTATACATAGAAAGGTAGGGAGAGGAAAAGCTTGGCCAGATTGTGGAGGGTCTTGAAAACCAAGCTTAGATGCCTAAACTTGACCTTATAGCCTTCTATGGGAACCATAGAAAGTTTTAGAATGGAGTTGGGACTTGCTGCTGCTGAAAGAAGTATTTTAAGGCCAAATCCATTGATAGAATACCAATGGAGTATGGTGGGAAAATTGGAGGCAGTGGAAGGGGAGACTAATTAAGCTATCGGCAGCATAGTGCAATTGAAAAAGCATTGGGGAGGGCATTAGGAGGCCTGGGTTCATCCCCTTGTGTGGGCCTCAGTTTTAGCATCTGTACCCTAAAGATGTCATGTTCACCCATGGACCTTTAAGCTATATTCTTGGGATCCCTATGTGTCCTGTAAGGGTGTCATCGTAGGGGGAAATCAGGAGGTGATGGGGAGAGTGAGGTTTAGGTGACTGTTCCAACCAATGGAACGCTGGAGCCAACTTGAATCCTGAGAGCTGATTGTGTACATTTCTTCCAAAATCCGTGTTTTGTGACATCATATTAGTAGTTTGGAATTAGCCATGGTGGGAATATTTACACCATGAAAATCAGCAAATGCCATAAGCCAGGACTTCTTTTTTCTTTCAGAGAAAATATTTAAATATTTTAAATATTTAAATATTTACCCACATACTACTGGTTTCAACTCTCCAAACGCAAATTAACCAGAACAACTCTGACTTTGTCTGCTAGATCTATTGGGATTCTAACATGTCATTTGCCTGAAAGAGGTCTATGACTTGAATGATTTGAAAATCACAGTCCTAATTCATCATTAAAGGCCCTGCTAGGTTTGGCTTTACAAGGTTCTGATAAAAGAGCTCAAGCATGAGACTAGGCACATAGTAGGTACTAAACAAATGCATATTATGTACCTTCAATGTTTCTGACACTGTTCCAGGTACTGGGGATATAGTAATGAACTAAACAGACAAGGAGCTTACTTTCTAGTGGAAAGAGATAGATATTAAATGAAGAATCAAACAAATAAATATGGAAAAGGAAAGTAAAATTATATATTATATAGCTCAGTCATGAAGCCTCAGCAACATAAACAATGAATCTTTCTCTTACCATCAAAATTATCTATGAATTTATTGGGAGAATGTGAATATGAGAAATATGC